CGAATATGATTTAACACAACTGCATGTAAGGAAATGAGCGGGTACAGTCAAACCTCTATTAAGCGGTCACCCTTGGAAATTAGCCAGCTGACTGCTTAATAGAGGTTTTCTAAAAATATTAAGCCCATAATGTGGCAGAAATTGACACAGAGGGCAAAATTCATCACTCTTTACAATATTATTTATTATTCATGCAACAACAGTAACAGGAAATGTGATAAAAGTGTTTGGATGTTCTGAGGAGTTCACGCCTAAACTACAAATTCATTTTTACAGTAATGTTGTTTGTAGGGCAAGAGTCTTTTCAATCAAGCACATCAGCAATTTTAAAACCTTATTCAACATGGAGAGAGACTTGTATTTTAATACTAAGGTTACAATGTTATGTTGCGTCTGATCAATATTGTGAAAGAAACTGGAATTACTTCGGTTATCTTTGTGTTAAAAAATATGCCAATTATTAATTGTTTTGTAACAAAGTGAAAGTTTAACAGAGGTGAATTATCACAGTGAATTAGCTATTTGGGAAATTCAAACAGTGACCATGTCCACTTATTAGAGGTGACCGTTCAATAGAGGCCAAATTTACAGCAAATATGAGAAGCAGACTTTTGAAAATTGATAGGTGAACGCTTAATACAGGGTGGCCGCTTAATAGAGGTTTGACTGTATGTGGTTCAGCCAGGGATTGAACTGGGGTCTCTAAATAGGTCCAGCTATCCTGGACAAAAGTGCTTGGGACAGTGTTGCAGTATTTTCTTTAATTTCTTGGTGCCCTCAAAAAACAGTGCAACATATCCAAAAATGTCTGGCAGGTCTCCCTCCACCGTACCTTAAATCCAACCTTATTTGTGGGATGGGGGAAGGGGTTGGGCATGTGTGATTTTAAGGAAGCCCATCAAATGCAAATTTGTCCCAAGATTTAGTCCAATTGATTGTAGTTTGGATGCTGTTAAGACCACTCAACCACTGAACTAACCGCGCCTGGAACATTATTGCGGTTCATGGACCTTTAAGTAGCCAGGTCTGGGGGTATCAACACATATTTCTGTACTGACGATCACTTCTCCATCCCCCAGACAATGGTTGATGCAAAGCCCTATCCCACTAAGGAATTTAAGAATGGGGAAAGAAATGTGGACACCTGATTACCACAAATTGTCTTTAGTTTAACAAACCTACGGTATTTCATCGAATAATAGCCGTCCCTCGATTAATTGCCTCCCTCAAATAATTGCCCACTCTTCATCCCTCTTGCCATCTTCTCTTTCTCTTATACCCTCCCTGTCAAATTGAAGTGGAGTCAGATCCAGCAGAATGATCAGTGACGATTCAAGCTCGATTCAAGCTAGGATATTGACGCTGAAAATTAATCAAGGAACCAAATTTGGAAAAAATATTTAGGACACAACCTCCACTGAACAATTATTTGAAATAATCGCCTTCCTCCAATAATTGTCCCCTTTTTGTGAGAAAAAAGTAATAATCGCCCCTGCCTATTATTTGAGGAAATACAGTATTCCTGTTTAGATGGCTAAAGCCGTTGTTTACAATACCCACCATCTTTGCATGGCCTTTCCTTGATTGTCGAAAGATGCTCTTGTTTGTTCGTTGACACTATTGAACCTTTATAAACATGCAAATTGCGCTCTTGAATGTTCCGTGGCGTTAATGAAGTGCTTCTTGGTGTTATAGAATGTATATTCGCCTTATTGATTCTACACTTCGCGAAAATGAATATCTTTTTCGCCTAAATGATCAGCAAAAGGTGTATCAAAATCGCCATCAAAAGCATTAGGACTTCAAAGGGAGCCAAAATTACCTCTTTTTAGGCGACCGGTGAAAATCACTGCCACCTCATGCACACATCCGCAGTGCAAAACAAGGGAACCATAAAATTCTGGTTTGCCCTTATTCGTGAAATTAAAGGATTAGAGAAGGCCTCCAAAGTCATTTTCTACCACAATGGAACTTAAAGATCAGTGTTCACACACGAGAGACCAGTTAGTACTCCACGGCACTTAACTTGATTTGTGTTGTTTCACTTCAGGTCACCGAGCGCCTTACTCGCACTCTCAGCACCTTCAACAGGCTAAGGAGCTTGCGTGAACTATTTCTACTGCTGGCCAAACGCTCTGTTATGATGCTCTCTCTGCTGAATTCCCTTGGCAGTGTTCAACACAAGTACCGCTTCTCCCTGGGATATTTCTTGTCCCTGTTCCGGTCGGAAGTAGGGAAAGATGTGGAGCTTCCAACGGAGAAGCTCGAATACGAATGCGGAGACAACGTTTATATATCGGGGCTGTCAAATTGAAAATGGCTTAGAATGCGGTTTTGTTTAACACCGGGTAAAATTTGTTTTATTAACAACACGTTAATTTTCAAGGTTATTCAGGATACACTGAAGGGCCACTTTTAATCACCCACTAAACGAACCAACTCGCTTGCAGCACTGCTGAGATAAACAAGTTACCAAATTGAACCTAGTTAATTCGCCTTTTACAGGCCCATAATGTATAGTGCCAGCAGATATCTGTGGGACACGGACAGGAAGAGGTCATTGATGTTGCCTTGGCAACGGCTGTGCGGACTGACACTTGGCTAGTAATAGAAAACCTTCAATTGGCTTCTCGTCGATGGCTGGAGCAACTCTACAATCGGTTATCAAGGCTTCAATTACAAGCTGGTGCGTATCATTCTGATGTGGGAGGGGAAAGGATGGTCTTGAAGGTTCGGTGGGGAGGTAGGAGTTTTTTTGCCCAATGTTGAACGCCGTGGACTCGTAAAAGAGAGTTAGGGTCTGTTTGTATGATACCGGAATGAATTTCGTTCCGAAATGATTTTCGTTCCAGCGTTAAGTTCGTATTGCTTTCAAGCGATCTCGCTCGCGTGGTTTTCGCGCCAGTCAAATACGTATGCGCCACTCGTGCCAGACTATACGATTTGCGATTTAAAATCCAGAACAAAGTTCGTTTTCAGTTTACATGATACCAGAATTTGTACCAAATTCGGAATGAAAACCGGAATGACTTGTACGGGAACGAAATGGTCTTTTGTTATCATGCAAACAAATGCAGAGAAATATATGGAGATGGAATGAACTCGATCCAGAATGAAAGTCATTCCGTTATCATTTGAATAGCCCCTTAGTGTTTCGAACGGCTGGTGTTTTAGACACATCCACATTTAAAATTGTAGGCGCAAAGAACAATTTGTCTAAAGCAATGAGATCAATCCAACTGGTATGACTGTGATTTTCTTGAACGTCTTTCACAACGTTAAATCTGAGGAACCATTGCCATCATTTTCCCCTTACACTTTATTATATACTAGTCGTTCTGCTTGGCTCTCTACAATCGTATTTATACTAATTATTTACGTATTTGGTACCATTCGGAAATAGAACATGGAGTGAGTTATGCAGAATGTCCATAACCAGGCTATTTCTACTAGATACTGCCCCTTAACACGAACATTCAGTAACACAGTTTGGTGATATTTTCTCTTATGGCGTTTGTAGAAACTTCATCAACTCCTTCTCAGTGGCGAGTGGTTCCTCTTTGTGAGCCTGCAGATCGCTTGCCAGTGGGGCTTCTTCTTTTTGCCCATCAGCTGGCTTGGGACGTGGTGCAGAGAGAAGGACGGGTGTATCAGGCCCTGGACTCCACGGACCTGGACTTGAAGTCCGTTATAACATCAACACTCGAGGTATGATAAGTGTCATTTCACTAATAGGCGCTTTGCAGCTAGCCATTCACGTGGTACAAAACCGCCGAGCTGGAGAGCAAAAGTCGCACTGGGACAAGATAAACAAAAGACAAGCATAATTTTAAATGGTAATTTCCTTTGTTTGTCTTGTCCCAGTGCGAATTTTGCTCTCCAGCGTGGCGGTTTTGTACCACGCGAATGGCTGGGCTGCAAACTCACAGTAGA